GCCTTTCACAGTGGATTGAACAGGGGACACCAGTGTGGCTGCAGCCTGGGGAAACCCAGAAGTGGCCCAAACATGCCTGTTCCTGTCCTGGCATGCTGGAAATTTGAACTCACCTCCGTCCAAGTTTCTAAGCATCTCATTCAATCTATTTCTATAGAATGACTGAATTACAAATTTTTTTATTTAATATGGAGTACATTCTGTGAGTATAAAAATAAGCTAGTCTTTGGAACAAATATTTGAAATTTACCTTTATGTCCTGAGAAAAAAGGGAAGGTAGTGGAAAAATGTGAATATTATATTTATGACAAGAATCAATCAGTTAGAAAACAGATACAATAAGGCAGTTTTCTTTAGCTGGATATAGAATAAGAGGTAAGTAATAAGCTCTTGAACAGAAATGTAATAATTACATGCATTGTTAAAGGAGGCGCTGAGCACTCTGTCTCCCTTGTTAGCCTAACATCACTCTGCATGACAGAAGGATCGGTTACCACTTCACAAACTAGTCAAGGGAAGTGCTAACAAATAAACCACTTCCCCGTAAGTGACTTCTCTAAGCATGTCTCTGATGTGTGTCTCTTTTACATCTTACTTGTTCAAAAATGAAGGAAGGAGAGACAGAGTGGACTAGGGGTGTCCTCAGAAAGGGGCATGCTTGCATCAGCTCACACATTTCTGGGTCCCCTTCTGTGATCTGGATCCTTACATTCTTTGCCTGGATTCCAGTAGACACTGCCACTCAATCTAGCAAACCATCTATTGTTGTGCAACAGAAATCCAGGCCAACTGGTCCAAGGAACTATACATAGATAAAGATTAGTATTCTCAGTTTTTAACTTTGAAATGGAATTTTACTATATTTAAATACAAGCAAAGCACATTTCCTTTTTTGGTGGGGGTTACCAGGGATCGAACTTGGGATCTTACGCTTGTGAGGCAGGCGGCAGAACCACTGAGCTAAATCCCTGGCCTCAGCAAAGCACATTTCCAAAGATAAAGGTTCTGGTGGGTTGGAAAGGGAAGACATGATCTGCAAAATCACACTGTGGTACACTGAAAGAGAGCTCATTTCTGTACACCAAAATTCCCAATACATTTAGGAACTCCCCGATGTGTTTAAAAAACTGAATCGAATGAATTTTGAAAATGTTTCTTTCTTCCCTTTTAAGCACAGAGAGCATAACGTGAATAAATTAATAATAACTTGGGGTTTCTGCTCATATAATGGGTACATAAATCTATTCCACCTGAATGCCATGTAATGAATTAACTCTAAGAATAAATACTAACTTATCTATTTCCCCTTATTAATATGTTTTCTTAGAGTCTCAAAGTAATCTAGTAATCAAATATCTCTCTAAATTTAAATCACCCAGAACCATTTAATGTGGCAACCATCTAGTTCAAGGATTAGGTAAAATTATTCTACCCAGGTGAGACTCTGTATAAACTGTGGATCTTTTTACATGTATTCTTTACATGTACTCTTTAGCTTTACAAATGTTTTAAAGTTGCATCTTATATCACTGGGAGATTACTCCAAAGAAAATACTCCATTTATCTTCAACGTTCTTCTGTTTAGAGAGCAGGCAGTTATTTAAAGCACATTCCAAGTGTTCCCTGCTTTATTGTAGTGGTGAAAAAGGAAGACTCTTGTCCTGGAAGTGGATAAATTTAATTTGTTAAATTGGCCAAAGAATAGAGCATATGGCATTCAGGGAGCCTACTGTATTTGAACTGAAGGTGTATTAATATTTCAGGTAAATATAATGCACCAAGTCTAGTTCTCTCCTTGCTACACTGGACATGAACTGTGTTAGGAGAGCAGAGTTTTGGGAAAGGCCAGGCAGGAAATGAGGCTGAGTGAAAGAAGGAAACGTGTCTTCATGATGATGGGATAGGCAGATGCTTCTGTTTTGCTCCAGCATTGCCATGAGTTGTGAGAAGCTACTCCTGATTCTCCTTAGGTAGCAAAACACGATCCCAGGTCGGGGTGGGTCTGGGCTAAGTTGTACAAGATGATTGGGCTGGAGGAGACAGTATGTATTCACGGTCTGCAGGGTGGGTGGTTGTACTGTTTACTGGAAGCTTAAGGATGTTTCAGGGTAGAAGCTGGACCAAACCATGAAGAGCTGAAGGGAACTCACGATCCACAAGGCAAACATCCCATTTTATGGGTAAGAAAATAAAATCAAAGGAAGTGATGTGATTTGTGTCAGACTCGAAACTGAAGGAGAAAGCTCACATCAGAGGAAACAGTGGCAAATATTCCATCTGAGAAAGAAAAAGATTTTGCAAAGTTTCCACCTTGTTCCTCCCTAAGGACAGCACCAGTGGCAATATCGCACCGCACCACCTGCTGGGCAGCCACAGCACAGGGTGGTGGTTCTCTTTTGCTCCTTGGTTCTGTCCTCCAGACCGTCAGACAACATCCTCTGCACTTTCTTGAGTTTTCCTGCAGCTAGGACTGGCAGGTATCACCTTGAAGCTCTGTCCATGGCTTTCCGGACAATCTGACCAATATTTATCGAGTGCCAACTGGCTGTCAAGTCCTGTGTTAGGTACAGGAGACAGGGCAGCCTGACAGGATACGGTTCCTGTGTGCACTGAACTGTGTACTCTAGGGGAAGAAGACGGCATAGAATATGATCATGTATAATAGTGCGTGCGAGCTGTGCGCTGGAGGGAATCTGAAAAGGAAGGGGAGGGGCCAGGAGTGATAGTGGACAGGGCTTCATAGAGTACTCAGCCTTGTCTCTGAACTCCTCTTTCACAAACCAGCCTATGCCTTCTCCTCAGACCACTTTCCCACCCCCCCATCTCCTTTACCACATTGCCAAGCTTCATTTGACCATCTAGCTATGAAGGGCCTCTCCTACCTAGGTACCCCAGAGTGCTGCGTCCTTGCCTCAGGTGCTCAGTGAATGCTCACAGAATGGATCTCTACTGCCACCACCTAACTGTGGTCTGCAGCACCTCATGTCTGAACTAGAGCACCAGCCTGAGCTGGCCCTCCTGACTCCTGCCTCTTCCACACATCAGATGGACTTTTCCATTGTTGCTCAAGAATACCAGGCCATTCCAATTACCCTCCGTGACTCACTTCTGCCGGCCCTTCATGTTCTAGACCAACTCCATTCCTCTTCTCACAAGACCTTTACTATTCTGGCTCTCCCTTCTCCAGCTCTATTTGGCCTTCAGGGTCCATGCAGTCCTGCCTCTCCAACTGGACAGTAACTTCCCGGGAACAGGACCATCTTCCCCATGGCCTACCCTAGAAAAGGGCTGAGAAAGCAACGAAGTAGAGCACCTGAGAGGTGATGCAGGGAAATTCACAGACTTGGGAGGAAAGCTGGGCCAAGGTCTAAGTCAAATCAAGTCACAACACATCACTGGGTTTTCCTTTGTTTGCTTTACACAACTGGTTTCACTGGAAACCGAAAGAGTTAGGGGTTTTTGCCTCTAGACATGTAACATTGCCTCTGAATATAACACCGCTTAGTTTCTAGAACAGAAAAGGGAAGTATTTTGCAATCAATTCAAAGGAACTACTTTGGATAGTTTCATTTACTCATATAGTTGTTTACAGTTTTCTTATTCTAAGTTTGAGACAAAACGTTTCTGGTATGCCTGTGTCCCTGATAAAAACTTAAAAATCAGCTGCTTTCAGAGCTATAAACTTTCAAGTCTTAGTAACATCTATACTTTTGGGTAAACTTCCCCGTTAGCATTTCTTCATATAAACCATCTGCTGCAACTGGAAAGAGCAGGGAGCCAGTACTCTACAGGCTCATCTCACCCCTGGAATGGGGCAGTTTCCTCATGTCGGTTAGTTTATTAGCTGCTGGCAGGCCTCCAGGGTAAATGAGGGTTACATGCACTTAGGGACAATGCCAACGTCTTATGCAGGGTGTTTGTCCTTTGCCAAGGAGAAAAGGGGCTCTGCCAGGCAACTCACATCAAAGGTAGGGTCTACAACGAGACTCAATAGGACAAGGACCTTTTAGTGCTCTGGTAACTAATCTCTCAAGAGGCATAAATTAGAGCCCAGAGTTCCCCACTGACACATAGTTACCAGATACCTGCCTTCCTAAAAACCATAGGCAGAGAAGTGATATTGAGAAGCATTTCTGAAGGCTTATCTATGTCAGCAGCACTCTCTGCAGCAGGTGCCAATGCTTGTTGCTGACTTGAATCTTCTAGTGTGGTCTTAGGAGCCCACATTGTGACAAATCTGAGATGGGCCTGAAGAAACTTCTGCTTTTATTTTTCAGGATTTCTAAAGCTACAACAGACATGACTTCAAAGATGTCAGTACTTTCGAAGGAAATTACTGGAAGCTCTTTGAGTTTATAGTATTTCTAAACTCAGTTTGGCTACTAGGATCCCCCTATTCCCCAGGTTCCTTGTTCCTATTTCCTTTCTACATTCTTTTACTCAGCAATCAGGAATGCCCACGTCCTTGCTCTCGTCTGTTTTTTTTTTTTTCTTTTTAAAGACAGAATCTTGCTACATGGTTCAGGCTGGCCTTGAACTCACTATGTAGCCCAGGCTGGCTTTGAACTCATGGCAATCTTCCTGTCTCAGCCTCCTGGGAGCTGGGAAACAGGTGTGCCCCCCCCCACGCTCCCAGGCATAGTCGGTTTTTAATCCATCAGCTCCTGACCTACACTCGCTCTCAAGTTGATGAAAGGGCAGGAGTGGTGTCTCCTTTCCTTGATGGCAGTACAACATCGCTCGAGCTCCAGGCTTAGTAGGTAATAAGTGGGCAACCTCCAACTGTCACGCCCCACCCAGACCTGGGAGGCTCTTCCTCTCCCCTCACACTGGCTTATGAAAGTGGGATCTGTCTTCTGCTGAGCCGCCACTGTCTGTCCCTGCGCCAGTGATGATCACGTGTGCAGGTTCCTGATGCAGGAAAAGTGATGTCAAAGACCAACCTCGGAGACAGAGGCTATCCACGTGGAGTCCGCCTCGGCCCAAAGGCAGGTGCTCACCTGAATGAGGAGATCGGTAGCGAAAGTCCTCTTTGGTCAGCAGCAGGAGCGCTTTGCCGTTCATTTCAAATGTGTTGCTGTCAATTGGCCTTAAAGAAAACTCATTTTCAGCCCACTTGAGCCACTGGGCTACGTCATCCCTGCTCCAGTAGATTGGCTGCAAGCCTGTTGGAGAGAGAGAGAGGCAGAAAGGGAGAGAGAAAAAGGTCTCGTCAGTTAAGTCAGTTGAAACAAGGGGAAAGATCTCTAAATGGTTAACAAAATCGAGTCTCTACATCTCAGGCCCTTATATTCAATTCTAAGTCCCAGGTTAAAATTCTAGCTTCATAATGGCTCAAGTGTGCTGTCAGACTAACTTTTTATTTAGAGGCAAAATGGGGGGAAAAACACATTTAAAAAAAATATGTAAAGGGTGATAGGTTTTAGAGCGCTGCCCTAGGGGTGGCCTGAGGTATACAAGAGGCCCAGAATCCTGACAAATCTATGTGCTTGCATGGGGCCTTAGAATCAGAGGGGATCGACTGTCGCCTCTGAGTGTTTCTGAAGTGAGAATGTCCCAGACCTGGCCTTGACCTTCCAGAGCTGCCAAATAATGAAGTGTCTTCTGAACCTTCTTTCAGGAAGAGCGATTCACTCAGCCTCTGGGAAACCAGCAGCCGGGCTCTGGGAGTAAGAGGGCAAGGTAAGGATGAAAGGGCTTTTGCCTCTTATTGGAAGTGCTGATGTTAGAAGTTTCTAGGGAGAGTGGTACTTGCATTGACTAGGACCAATGTGGGCTGGTGGAGGGCTGGAGTCAGGCTGCTCAGGTGATCAGGTTGGGTCTCTGACACCACAACTATGAATCTACATTTTTAGTTTACTTTGCTATTGTGGGAAATCTTTGATATGTCATTGAAGGAATTAGAAAAGTGAGGGTTCCCCGAGATCTCTGCAGGGTGTCTATGTAGTTCAATTCTTTTCATAACAATTGAGAGCATTTGCCTTTGTTGCTCTCATATGTTCATGAGCATACCTGTGTGACATGTGATACTGCAACAAGCTCTAAAAGAATCTAGCTGTCTTCTATTAAGCTAGGTCCTAAAAAGACTTGCAAACATGTACAACACTACTATTCTTTGCACAATATTTTGGAGGGGCACACATTTTTGATCTTGTCTCAAAAAAAAGAAAAGGCTGGGGATGGAATGTAGCTCATTGGGTTTTAATGGTTTAATTCCTCAATGACACATGGTTATTATTTTTCATTAAGTTAATGAATATTTTTAAATTCTCATAGTAAATTTAGATAAGATATAACTCACATGAGCAAAAGCTCTTTGGAGTTTTCAGTAATTTTCAAGAAGTAAAGAGAGTCCTGACAACAAAATTTAAGAACCCCTAAGTCAAAAGAATGTAGATGCTCCACAGAGTTCCATTCTCGAAAATCAAGTGGTGCAAATCAATAGTTCAGACCCAGCGCAGTGGAATCAATGTGTGCTAAGAAGAGCTTCAGGCTCTCACATAAGTTATTGAAACTAAGGGGGACCCTGGAATGTGCTATAAAAGTGTTCACTCTTGGAAGGAATCCAGGCAAGACAAAGCACCGATGTGCTAGATGGGTGGCTGAGCCGGCACACAGGACTCTGGCCCCCTGGACAACGGCCAGGGCTCTGGGCACGACTGTTGGCTGTCTTCCTAGCACGGCCTCTGCAGAATATAGTTCTGAAGAAGGGTGGCTGGCTTCTTCCAACTCTGGAAGTCCCCTCCAAACCAGTCCATCTTGTAAGGGACCAATAAAGAACTATTGGACATTGGGATAATTAGAGATAGCCTCTAAGAATTCTTAAAATTTTATAATAATGTTTTTCAAATAAAAAAATAAACAGCACTATGGAATAATGACTTGTGGTACACGGCTGCTTTATGACCTTTAGAATAAAACATGGGCATTGAAGGATCCATGGTTCTGTTTCTGACTCTTGATTGGGCCAGAAAGCAAAGCCTATTAAGAATGGCCCCAGGTACAGGTGGGGCCCACCTCTTCCCAGTGACTTGAACATTCGTAACTGGGACCACAGTAAGATGGGAATGGCAGCCAATTTTTGAACCAGTTAAAATCTTAAACCTTACTTCCTATGCTCAGTGGTGTCAGCTTTGAGGAGAAGAGCAGAGTGACTTGTTATTGTAGATGCCTGACCTCTGCTCCCTCACAAGAGGAGCAGAAATACAGTGGCCCTTAGGGGACAAACGGGAGGTTCCAGCCAAGTTTGGCCCAGGAAAGCACTGGTGGTGGCAGGGCCAGAGAGTAGAGGGTGCTTAGGCAGAAACAGGGAAAAGCGTGGGGCAGCTCGTGGAAGTGCAGGCTCCAAAGCAAATACAGAACCGAATCCTGCCCAGAAGGGGAAATGAAAGTAAAATGCTGAAGTTTCTGCAGGGGACACAGGGAAACAGAGGGAGGCAGTGAGAAGGGGGTGGGAGACGCAAGTAGTAGCTTCAGGTTCTTTATATTCTACGGGAGAAAATACTCATGAGTAATCTTTCCCTAAACACAAGAAGAGTTATACACTCCAAACAGCACTGCCGGTTAAGAGCAACAGTTTCTCTTCTCACTTCCCATGAACCTCTCCCACAGCTCAGCCCTAGGGGCAGCCAGCGCCACAGCAGCGTGGAAACCCCCTCCCCAGGAACCGATGCTCAAAGCTCCACGCTTGTGTACAACAGGGATCCACCCATGCCAGCGAAACTGGGTGATCCTAGCAGTTTTACGTACGCAATCAAGATGGAACAAGCTACCTGCTCGAGGCCGTTCAATAAATTGATCGGTCACTGCTCCTGCATTAGCATAAAGAGAGGTGGACAGTTCACCCAACTGGAAAGTGGTCAGATATGCTTCTCTGCTGAAAGCTGGTCCCACTGCTATTTCCTTTCTAATTCAATCAAACAAAGAGGTTGTGCTATAGAATATGCTTTGCAATTCTAATTGAGGAAAGAGAAGCCCTTTCTCCCACACCTGTGGGCCCACTAAGGCCCGTGTGTTAAAGCAGCTAACTCCAAGCAGAATAGAGCACAGAGGGGATGCTGGTCTACTCGAGACCATTTAATTTACTAGTCATTTATGAAGCACTTCTATGCACCTAGCACGGTTCTAAGTACTTTATATATATTAGTTCATTTAACTGCATGCTCAGGCATCCCATGAGACAGGGGGTCAGATTAGGAAACTGAGGCTCAGTACATTTAAGGGATTTGACCAAGGCTGTATGGCCCTAGAACAAGATGAGCTGGGATGAGAACCCAGGCATGTATCTCTAGAGTCTGTGTCTTACCCTATCACTCTGCTTACCCAAGCATCTCCCAACTAGACTCAGCATCGACACTGGTTTTCAACATCTGTTAGGGATTCAAAAGACTGAGTGAAGTGATTCCTACGCATCCAAGCCTGAGAGCCTCAGAGGCTTTCTCAAGTTACCAACAAACTAAAAGCGTAGCAAAAAGAAAAAGAAAAAAAAAAAGGATTTGTAGATCTCTGGAGAAACAATTTATAAATGGGGAGAGGAGAGAGGTGTGGGGGAACTCGGCTTTTACTGCCAGGAATGAAGCCCCATTTCCATGGCTGTTCCATCAAGCTCAGTTTTGATGGGTCACGTGATTCACAGCCACTAATGGGACAGAGGTTGTGCAGACAGGATGAGGGAGGGATGCGTACAACTTGTTTTACAGTTGTCCCTTGCAATTTTAACTCAACAGAGTTAAAGGATATAATGTGAGTGATCATCAAGAAAAAGAAAAAAGGAGAGAGAGAGCAGGAGTGCATTCTTGTGCATCTATCACTACTTGTGCAGGTAACAAACCCATGAGAGACATTTACTAAGATCAGAATTTTAATGCCAATTAATGTGAGGCTATTTGGGAAGAATTTTGTATGAAGGAAGTGAACTGCTACGATTAAGAAAATTACTAAGAATTCCACTGCAGTTTTTCTTCCAAGGGGAATTAAATCAAGTTCTGGTATGGCACCCTTCAATGATATATTTACCCAGGCTCTTAAACTTTCCTATTTTCCCAATTTCACGTTCAAAGGGGCGGCCAGATACATACATCAGGACATTCTTGCTCTCATTTCAAACTTTCTGAGTTATGCTTAAACTCATGATGAAAAGTGTGCTGGGAGTCAGAGCCTGGATTTTATTCCCAGATTAGCCACTATTTGACATGTGACTCTGGGCAGGTTCAGTGGCTTCATCTGTAAAACGAGGGGCTGAGAGCCTACAATCACTATTCCCTTTGGGCTTAATACAGTCAATATGCCCCTATTTAATTTGGATCTTATGAACCAAGAATACACACAGCTAGGAGCTGTTGGTTTTTTTTTTCCTACAAAATTTCTCTTTGCTCATGATCATGACCCCAAGACCTTGAGATTTTGTAACTTCCTGAAGGAGAGTCATGGAAGATAGATGAGTGCTTAAGACTATTTTATTATATTCTAATTCTTGGGAAAACTGTAAGCCAGCCATGGCAATGATAAACATAACAGTTTGTGTCTTTGGAGTTGAGCTGTTGCTTCCCCGCACATCACCTTGTGAAATTCTCATAAATGTCTCCCACAGTTAGTTGGGTTCTCATTTCAGTTAAACAGATAAGGAAACAAGAGGGCTCATGGCCAGTAGACGTGCTTTGAGCAATATTTGTCTCAAGCTCTTGCTCGCTCTCTCTCTCTCTCGCTCTATTTGTTGGTACTGGGGATTGAACACAGGACCTTATGCATGTTTGGCAAGTACTCTACCACTAAGCTACATCCCCAAGCCCAAGTACTTTTGGTATAGCAGTTGTTCACCAAAAACATCCTTTACCCCCAACCTTCTGTACAAATGAATTTGCTCGAGATTGTACAGTTTGGAGAGCAGAACCATAAAATGTGAGCAGTGAGAGACACCACAAAGATGACTTAGTCCAATCCTGACCCCACTTCACCGACTGGGAAACTACAACAAACAAGTTAAGACTGAACTACAGTCAACCCGCCCCAAGTGCCTTGACCCTTGTCAGTATCCCATGTTGTACAGTACTGTGACCAGAGGACACACAGAAACTCTGTAACCCTCCACACAGTCACCGCAGTCACCACACTTCCTTGCCTGGTCAGCTCACCTCCAGACCAAGCACCCTTGTTGGCCCAAACATAT